GTACTTCAGGTTCATAGGAGGTATGTATCCCATGGTATGGCGACCGTCTATTGATCTAACTGGTTTTAGTTGCCGTAATGGCTTTCAAGGTAGGTGTCGATACGACGGCTTTCTTTTTCGTCTCATATTTGAGCACAGGCTGTCTGGGCGCTAGAGCAGAAGCGCCGCGATAATGACCGCAAGATCCTTTTGTTGCAGCTCCAAATGAAAGAGATGATGGGAGTTCTTACGCAGTAGGTATTATATTACTGTTTGAAAGCTGCCGCACTCACCTTCAATCCTCCTGCAGACTCAAAAATGTGAAGGATGCCGACGAAATTGCACCTGACGGAACCACCATCAAAGGTCGGATGCAGGAGATTGTAAAGGCCACTGCAGATGACATTAAAGCGTGTGCGAACGTAAGTCTGTACTTTCGACGTTGGGCCTCCATTGACTTGTACTGCAGGCATGCGACACGTACACCAAGAAGAAGTTGGTTGGTGCGTCCTTTGTTTCACATTTTTCACTCTGTCCCTTATTCGCCGATAGTGAAAATCTTAAAGGGTCCGGTGTGGGAAGGCAAGTTAGCCGCATTTGCAGCGACGTTTACCAAACGTCGCTCCGAATTTGAATTCGCGCTTTCCATCCACACCGCTCTCGGAGTTGATGCTGCAAACCAAACTCTTGGTTCGGTGGACAAGACGACCCAGGAAATGAACCAGAAGATGGATATGATGGTTAGTGATCGGTTCTATCCCCTCAGCTTTGTTTGACAAATTTCCCAAGATGAAAATGTTCCAACAAATGGTTGCGCCTGAACAAAAGGAGATGATGCGGTATATCATTTCGCAAATAATTTACTGATAGATTTTTAAAATGTCTTTACAGCATCGTGGAACAGAAAGGCGGTCTGCAGGCGTGCCAGGAGAATGACAAAATTCTCAAAGAGCTAAGCGATCTTGAAGCGAAGTCGACTGCCACACCCGGAGGTGCCACCCAGTCTGCAAAAACGGCACAAAAGACGTCTGCACTGGAAGATCTCAAGGATGACCTGATGGTAGATCCTGACGCTGCCATGGAGAAAAACTTGACCGTCTTTTCGCGCAAATTCGAGTATGTCCATTCCATATGCGGAGGTTTCGAGTGCCTGATTTATCGATATTTAGGGTGCAAAAGCGCCAAATTGTGTATGTCCATTCTGTGTGCAGAGGTTTCGAGTGCCTGAATTATCATATTCAGGGACGAGTTGACGAAAGTCGTCGAGCGAGAGGGTGATCGAGTTATCAGCGCCATTACCGCCGGGCCACATGACAAAATAATTGACCCTGTGGGTGCTTTGTTACTGATGGGCACGGTCTTTTCTCATCGGATTTTGTCTGTAGGACGTTCATAAAATATGGAAAGAGATGGTAAGGGCATATTTGAAGGATTCGTGGATTGTACTGAAGCGTTTCGCTTCAGGGCTGGCGGGGCAGTGTCAAGTCGCGTCATTTTGTGATGGCTAGTTTCTCCTCCCATTGATATATCTCCTTCTCACAACGGACTTTGAAATCTTCAGGCTCTGCGAGACTACTACCAGGAAAACGCAGATGACTCTGATGCAGCTGCGGCTTCCGCGAAGAAGCGAAATCCTGACGACTGGGCTCTTGCCTATCTCAACGTTTCAAGACTGCAATCGATTTCGGAAGCCTTCGATGACGATGCTTCAGGGTTCGTTACTGTTGCCGAGGCTAATGCCTTTACTACATCACGGCCGCTGGACTGGTCGTAAGTTTCCAACTTTCCCGACGTTGTTCGATCTGACGGCAAACTTTTTTCTGGTCCAGGCTTACCCATTGGACCGCTTTCTGGGCCATAGGATTTCACCAGTCGATGTCGATTTACGCCACGAAAATTCGTGAATTGATTGCAAAGATGTTTGCGCTCAGAACGCTTGTTTTGCCTGCCAACAGAACGGCCGTCAACTCTTATCTGGAAACCATTTATCAGGGCGTCACTTCACTGGAGTCTGGCCTAGCACCATGCTACGTGAATGAAGCACTGCAAGAGAAATTCAGTAGCTACGTCGAGGCCGAAGAAGCGAGGCTCCGCGGAAACCTCGAGGCGGTGGACTATGATCTTGACGCTGCCAACAGTGCGCATTATCATTATCTCTCTTTCCAACACAGCTGACCCAGTGTGTAGCCCTCACTCTTGTCACTGGGCAGGGTCGCATCGAAAGAGTAAGGCTATTTTCAGTTGTCCAAGATTCCAAATTAATGCCACCATTTAGTTCCTCCTCCCAATGATTTATCTCCTTCTCAAAAGGGACTTTGAAATTTTCAGAATCTGCCAAAAAAAGGTCATCCATCCCGATGAGCTTTGGGATGCTGCCGACACGCTCAACTGGGTGACATCTGCGGCTCAGGAGAGAGTAGACCTTTTGGAATGTGGGTCTTTACCCTTGTAGCTGTCCTAAAAAATGACCTTTGTCCCTTTAGCGACCTTTCAGCAGCAGAAAGTGGATTCGGCACAGGAGTTCAAGACATACGCTCATGGCCTTGTGAGTTGTACGTCAGCCCTTTACGACCCAATTCTAACCGGATCATTCCAGTTCCAGTATATGCACGACCCAAGTGGACTTTGGGATGCAAAAGTAGTACTCAGTCAAGAATTCCCAGACTATCCGTATGACGATGCATTGGAGGCTCAAGAAGTCGACGTGGAGAAGATCTTGAACTATCCTCTCGGTCTTGAGAAACTCGATTTTGCGGCATATAACGCGGAACCGGATAAACCGATAGCGACTAGCAGTCGGCCATCTTCTGCTCTCAAGGCAATTTTGGGCTCCTGGAATGGCTTCACGTACTCACCTGCGTCCTCGATCGTCCCTTCCTCGGGCATGATTTCTATGGAACTCTTGGCGAGTGGATCGCGACGGTTCCAAGCGTCATCCCGCTCCAATATGTCCGATTTTACGATTTCTGGCGAGTGTAACGGGGAGAGCAGCGAGACCGTGAAATTTTCGTTTAAACAAACGTTCCCGGCTCGATTCTCTCCCCAATACTTCTCTGGCCAGTGGTCGCGGACACAGCAGTCCCTCTCTGGAACGTGGGGGGCGGAGGTTGACCCTCGTACCCATGACGGCGTCTTCATATTTAAGCGTATACTTTCCGAGTATATGTGTTTCTTCCCTGCACCTACAGTGTTGAAGGCTCACAAGGCTCGCGCTCTGTGGACGTTCGCCATATCATCTGTTAGGTACAAGATACGCAAAGAGGAGTGGTCGTGGGCATTCTTCAAGCAAAGGACGGAGAACCGCAAGCGCTTCATTGAGCTTTATATCCGGAGTACGCACTTCGGACGACCTCTAAGTGCTTCGGAGCAGGTGTGCATGTTTTCAGCCCGCTGTGAACAGCACTGATTCGCGCTACAGGTGGAACTCGGCTTGATTAAAAAGTTTGCCATGAAATGGTTGACCGCCCGATCATGCTAACAAACTGGATAGATCATTTACAACGGCAGACTCGAGGTTTTACCACTCCATAGGTACAGTATCCACCTGTTCGCTATACTCACGGCTAAACCATCCTTAGCTGAAAGTCAGATCCGTGTAACCACTGGGCATGAGTGAGTCCCCCACAGGATCATTCTGTTCGTATTACTCATATCATGTCCGCTGCTCAGTGTGCGCTGTGATTGCTGTACAGGAGTGATAGGCGGTGCTCGTGTCACTTGCTTGACATGCCGACTGGAGGATACATTCGATACGGTTAGACTTTGCGTCCCACCTTTGCGACCGAGTCTGAACAAAAACCATAGGTCGACTTTTGCGATACCCCCAGCTGTACGTCGACGAAAGTAGTACCCACGGGAATGACGGTGTGTTTTTAGGTCATGTATTTGTTCCTTCCTAACTGTCCTGCATTATCGTAGCGGCCTCACTTGCCCGCACATGACATTCTCAAATTGAGACGAGTGGTGCATGTGAGACAATTCGGGAAGACTTATCGCGAGGCGAAACGAGCTCTTGCGAAAGCGAGACAATTGTTTCCTCCTCCGTCCGAGACGGACGCGGATGTCGAGAATCCGGAGACTCCCGCTCCCAAATGTGCTGCATGTGATGATCCTGTCACCCAACCGTGCTGGTTCTGTGTCCAATGCGATGGTTCGGGCACCTTTCCGGTTCTGGGCGACTCGGCTGATTTGTCAATTTTCAGAGCCCAGCTTCATTTGCAATAGTTGCGACTCGGATCCCAAGAAAAAGATCGCCTTTGGGTATCATGATCCCTACGCCCACGACCTGGTGCGGGTGCGGGAGTTGGTAGAAGAAGTCGAGGTCACTCTTGAGGACCGACTGGCGGACTTGGAGCAACGGTTTATTCAGCATGAGGCTAATATGGACCAGAGATTGGGCAGTTTGGAGGCCAAGGTGGACGATCGCCTGATGCAGGTCGATGATCGTCTCATGCTGGTCGAAAAACTGTTGGAACGAGTACTTTTCGCATTAGAGCAGCCTTTGTCCCGTTGACGCCCGAGACACTTTCATACATACATGTACCATAGTTTGCACAGCACATGATTCAAGTTTTTACACGAGGTTTAAAATATTCCAGCGGCCGTCGCCGGCCCCGAAAGAGCCGCACGCGTTGACGATTTTGGTGGCGCACTGGGGTCGATGTACGATGGGCACCCGCGAACGGGGCGGTCCCCGCGACTGTGGGACTCATCTTCGACCTTCCGCCGAAAGCCTGTGGTTTACATGTACAAATTACAGCAATCTCATCGCGCCGCAGCAATGAATGTAGTTCCCATTGCAAAAATCAAATCCGAAAAAAACATTTTGGGTGCGGATTGGTGCGGAAGAAAACTTTCCGCTGCAGGAAAAACTTCTCAAGTGAGGAAAAACTTTCTGCCATTGGTCAGACCTCAGAATGGCTTGAATTGCATACTAGTTGGTTAAGCGCACGACGGAAATATTATTTAATCCAATCAATGGTTGTTGCACGACATTCCTCCCTCCATGAGCCATTCATCGATGCCCCCTGGCCCAGTTGGTTAAGGCGCACGACTGTTAATTCAAGTCCGCAATCGTGAGATCGAGAGTTCGAGCCTCTCGGGGGCAGTTTTTTTTCTTTTCCGTTCTTTTCCGTTCTTTCCGTTTTATTTCTTTGGCCTCGGGAACGTGTGAATAACCTGAACTTTCTGTACAATTAAACTACCTTTATACCCTAACTTAGTGGATAAATCTGCGCCCGGGAAGCATACCGCAGAAATAATCATAATCAAGGTGAATCAGAATTGACGGAGAATGTCGGACTAGAGTCACTTCTTCTAGAGCCTCCACGGACCGGGAATTCTTCAACTGTGTCGCAGAGTAAGCCCGGAGGTCCTGTAAACTGCATGTAGATAATTTCCTAATCTGGCCGCTAGCGTTTGTTTGTTTGGCCATACCCGCTGACGAATTTCTCTGGTTGACCATGAAGTGACTTCAGACAGTCACGGGTGAAATTGCGGAAGATAAACACCTACTTGACTATACGCCCTCACCAAGTAATATGTTGGTAATATGTGGCAATTTCAATAACTATAACACAAGCGACGTAGAATATACGCGCTACCTTTACTTGGGCAACTCTGGGCTGTCAATCAGCATTGACCCCATCCTGGCATTTCTTTCCCCGGGAATTTCGCTCTCCTCCGCAATTTTGCGCACAGCCGCAATTTCCTCGGTGCTGAGCGTGAGCGCAGAGGCGCCAAGATTTTCTTCAAGGTACTAGGTGCAGTCATGAGCGATAAGTTGGATTGCACAAAAAAAAAAGAAACCAACCTTGATCTTCTTGGTGCCGGGAATGACTACAAAATCGGGACCTTGAGCCAACACCCACGCAAGCGTCACTTGCCCGGCTGTCGCCTTGTGCTTTTCACCGATCCTCTTGAGACTAGAAACTACGTCGAGGATTTTGGGAAAGTTCGCAGCGGAAAACCTAATGGCTCGACCGTCAGAAAGAGGTGGGTTACAAAGGAGGAAAGCAATACTTGGGAACGGTGCGTCTGAAATCATTCGCCTCAAAGTCGTCTGGCGATTTCTGCAAAACAGGCTTAAATGAGAATCCAGGTTGCACGGCGCATACGCACGTATCGCCCAGTGAGCAAGCCTCGTCCCAGCGGGGAGTAGGCGACGATCGTGACCCCCAGCTCTCTCGCTGTCTCGAGCAACGCAATCTTCGGATCCTCAATGTCAAGGACAAAGGGAGAGTATTCGATCTGGAGAGCAGCGATGGGATGGACTGCGTGGGCACGCCGGAGAGCCTTGGCAGAGCACTCTGAAAGTCCCAAGTACTTGACTTTTCCTTCCCTGATACGCTCATGAGGAAGAGAAACAACATTCATCAAAGACTTGCGCACTTGACAAGTTCGGCCATTGCGCCAACGGTTACCTGTCCATCAGATTCAACGGGGAAACTTGCAAATGTATAAAGATGAAAACAACCTCTATCGGTGTGTTAGGGTCGACTCTGAGTATAACATGTCAGCAGGGTTGATTTGGGAATCAGGATGGCCGCACACCTGTGTTGATAATACAAATCGATCGAATCCACTCCAAGTCTTTCGAGCGACGTGGCGCATTGCTCCCTGACAAAAGCGGGGTCACCGCGTACTCCCTGGGCACTTATTCCGAATTTGGTGGCCAAAAAGATGTCGCCGCGCTTTCCAGTGCGCTTAAACCACTTGCCGATGAGTTCTTCAGAATCTCCGTAGATGTGGGCGCTGTCCCAAAACAAGCAGCCCTTTGCATGGGCCGCGTCCAAAACCTGACATTGTCTATTTCCGGCAAAGCGCTTGAATCGAACAACGACAGACCTTGAATCGTTCTTCGTCAGACTCGACTGCTCCGTAGAAGCTAGATATTCCCATCGCCCCGAATCCAATCTCAGACACGAGAGCCTGGCCGACTTTTCTGGTAGGGATAGACATGGTGGTTGCTAGTTGGTTCAATGTGTTGTTCAGTCGACTTTGGATATCGGAATCACATCACGTTTTAGCTAATAACGCCCCCCTTTCCAACTCCAAGGGGTCCTATTCCTTTTGGTAAGTTTGGTAGGTAGGTAGGTATATTCCGGCGCAAGAAACAGCCGGGCCCGTACTACATACGTTACTTCCGGTCCCAAAGCAAAGTACTTGAATGGTAACGAAACATTGAAACTATCAGTGTTGAGTCGATTGGTACGACACCATTTCGGAAAGTTTAGTTGGCGGCGGCGTCGGTGCTGGCGGGGTTAAATGGGAAACGACCAAAAGAAGGTTCTTGGGAGGTGCCTGAAATATTCTCGACATGATTGTCGAATTGTTCAGGGCCGCTCTGCTGGTCAGCAGCCTCAATTTCGTTCTTCTGGGGCGGGAATTTTGTAGTTCTTAGCATTCAACTATTGATATTCCCCGACAATATATTTTTGTGGGATGGGGAGTCTCTAGGTTTGCTGTGCAAGAAATATCCGCAACTTGCAAGGCCCGGAGTCGAACCGAACACGGCCAAATGGGTTTAGATGTGATCCGAGTTATCCACTCTAAAAACTATAACGATCGGGAAGCAATCCAGATTCCAGATTACCAATTCGCTTCGCACTCTAAAACTATAACGATCGGGATGCAATCCAGAGCGCTAATGTTTCGTAACTTAGTGAAACTTGTCCGTTGACTCGGGGAACGGCTCCTTTTGGAGGGCAGGATAACGACCGTCGGTGTACTTGGGAAAACGCGAACAGCAACACAAGATCACACCATTTCGCCATATCCGAGATCCCATCTCAGATCGACAAAAAGTTCAGTTGTAAAGTTCTTACTTAACAAAATTTCAAACGGATACAGTCGACATAAGTTAAAACTTATCGTCTTCACCGGACGTTCAAGGATTCACTCACAACAAATGACCGCCCACACTATTGATCATGCAGCTCTCTGGGCCGACGGCAAATACTTTGGTGAGCCTTGTTACCTCGTTTCCCTACTCTAGCTGGAACTCTTTTAGCTCAGGTTCCCGTTGCGGGAAAGATCACTCCTCCTCCCGAAACCTTGAGCATTGAAGAGGCTGTCATCTCCGTGGCCAAGCAGCTTTTGGGCGACAGTTATAAGCTTCGCGAGGACATCGTCGCCCCCAAGGATGCCGATGGACTTGAAGTCTATCGTATTCTAACCCAGGTTCGTCTCCTGTCATTTACATCTTTTTGAAACTAAATGCCGAACTCGCAGGCGCTGCCTGTTCTTTCTGAGCAATCCAAGTTCTTCTGGGACAGAGCAGCGAGGACATTAGCGTCCATGCTTTCTACCGCCAAATATCCTATTCATGCCCAGACGTCTCATTTGATCTTTTGGTGGGCCCGGCTCGGCGGTATCAATGGTCCTACCGTCAAGGGCACGACCAAAGAGCAGATTTCAGAGTTCACTCGCGACGGATCGTGCACTGAATTCTCCTGGGTTCTTCCCCCTAAGACCGACCCCAAGGGCCCTTGCAACAGGAAGGTTCGCTTCGGCATCGACCCTTTCCATCCTGATCTGAGAACGCGTCTTGCTGGCGGAGCGACCACGGACTTCTTGTGGTCAGACGTCGGCGGTATGGGTCTTGTCAGCCAAGAAGGAGGCAAGGATTGGAAGGACATCTTGGAGAAATGGTTGTTCCCTAACCTCGAGAGTACCGAGCAGGTTGTGCCTGGTTGCACCTATTTCGTTGGCAAGTCCGTTACTTGTGTTTCACTCCGGTGTTCTCATACCTCCCCTAGGCTTTGACTTGGAGCCGTCTGGGTCCATCACGCTCAAGCACTACTACATGCCTCCGGCACCGGACCCCAATGTGGACCATGCATTCAAATCGGCGACCAACCGTCTTACGTCGGATTTGTCGCCCTTCAGGCCACTTTGCGCTTCCCTTCATCCGTCATTGGTCGAACCTTTGAACGTGTTGATTGACTTTCTCGCCAATGAAGGGAAGGACTCTGGGCTGTTATTTGCGATGGTGGCTTGCGATCTCAGCATCCTTGAGAAGAACCGCATCAAGGTTCGTTGATTGTCGCCGTTACTCCTCCCATTGGTCGTCGCTGAGTCTTTCACGTAGTTATACCTCTGGACCCCAAGGCACACGCTGAAGCAGATCATTCATAATATGACTCTGGGGGGCAAGCTCAAGGGGCCCAATTACGACAATGCTATGGCGGACTTGACGAAACTCTTCAAGCACCTTTTCCCTTACGCTACCGATGAAAACGTCGAGCTGCGACCCCAACATGTGATCGACGATGTTCCTGAAGCGTACAACGAAGAACAGCCTGGTCGGCACGACGCCGGCCTTCTTTACTACTACGAGTTCTTTGTTGGCGAGCCTAATCCTTACTCCAAGGTGCTTTCCTCTCTAATCCACATGTTGACTGCAACTCACAAATACCGTCTATAGGTTTACTTCCTCATGGACTTTTTCGGCAAGAACGACTTGACCACCGCGCAAAGCGTGGAGGGCTTCCTTACAGAAGTCGGAAAGCCGGGCGAACCGGGCTGGTTCGCAAGCGATATTGCTCGCGCTCAGTAAGAATTCCGTTCTGGCTTATTCTGACATTTTTTAACGTGTTGAACTGTAGCCCTCATCGTGAGCTGTCGGCTCGTACAGGGACTCAGACCGGTTTCTCGTTTGGTATCAAACCAAAGGTTGGGATGTCACCGGTTATTATACGCCTGAAGTGTTCCGAGCTGCTGAGGAGGCTGAGGAGGCCTTGAAGAAGGCTTCTGCCGTCTAGATAATTCATCAGGTATCACCGAGTTTAAATAGATATTTATACATACCACGTCGAAAAAAAGCGATCGCGCGCTTGCCTTGGACGTCGGCGTCTTTTCCTGTGGGTGCAAGTGTCGTGTCTGAATCCCGTTGCACAAAATGATCTGCGTGTGTATCAGTGGTGAACGTTTCGCTCAGTCAGTTATGCGGCAGTTCTGCGGATGGAAAATTCATGGCTTGCAGGCGACGTGCACCCTTCTTTTTAGGTGGGCGCGTCGGCGTCAAAGCGCACGAGCGCGTGCTCTAACACTGCGGGATCCTCTCTGGCGAGTAGTTGATGCGCGGGATGCTTTGTGTAGATATTTA